CTTAGAAACGTCATTCTCTCTCCCTTGTACGCTATTTAAAATTCTAAGCCTCACGTCACCATTTTCATCACCATTATTCATATTAACATCTATCCTTAATTAAACATGGAAGTCTAAGACCCTCACAGCATAGCTGAGAACACAGAGATATAAATGATACTGATAAATATTTCTTTAAGGACAAGATAAATGTTAGACATAAGTGACAAATGAACAGAGAATCCACGTTAAAATAGTACACACGAAAGAGAGTTCTGCTACCTGAATCATGTTAACAGACAATTATGATAACAGATCTTATGATAAAAGTCTACAAAGGACTTCAAATTCTAGTTCTGAGAAATGCTCTAAACATAAAAACTTGTTTCCCCTCCGTTTGTTATTTAATCGACTTAACTTTATCGGTAAGAGGAGTTTACCATATTTGCAAGATAAATTAATCCTTTTAAACCTTGGCTGGCATCTTTTTCAATTATTCATTATTCATCTGTTAATTATTCATTATAGGACGAATTACTGACAGAACACAGTCTAGTCCCAAAGCACACACATATTAATCTGCTACTATTAATCTACAACTCCTGTTATATTACTATTTTAGCATGTGATAGAGCACTTAGAAGGGAAAAATGGCTGTCTTTTATCACCTTTTCTTAAATATAATTAACAAGAGTAAAATCCGTTTATGAAGCACTTTAGACATGGATGAAGATAGCTTGCTGCAGATCAAGCCATGTCTTCCCACATCTCTACACAAAGTGATAGTCAAAGTATTTATCAACAGTATTTACCGTGCTGCTGGCACTGAGAAAATGCAACGGGTCCATACGGTTAAGCAGCTGTCCAACTCCCACGGCCACAGGGATATAGTGCTCTCATAGCGACACTGAGAACTTTTCATTCTGGTAGATGCTATTTGTTCCTTTCAATATTGGTGTTAAAATATTTTTTGTTGAATTATTACTAAGGAGAAGAGCTCTGATGGTGACATGCTTAATGAAGAGGGCTGATAAAGGAAACTATCAGCCACTCTCTAGGAGAACGATGAGGGGTCGTTTACCATATTCACTGACAGTCTGTCTCAGGAACCAGTTGGAAAGTTGCTAGTCACTATGAGTCAAGCTCGACTTGATAGCAGTGGGGGTATTTTTTGTTGTTGTTGTTTATTATTAATGAGCATAATATCTATAAGCTAAAACCTTTAAACTCATTCTTGTTGTTGGAACCAACTTCCAGATGATCCTCCAGCAGGTTTCTGAGACTGTAAATTGCAGGAAAGGAGACTGGTCATCTTTTTCGCTTAAAACTGCTGTGGATTTGAACTGTCAGAGAAGGGAAGTCTCTGGGCTAGTAGCATAAATTCCTAAGGACCAATTACTGGAACTCCCCTAGGCTATCAGGGAGCTGACAATGACTAAGGATGATAGAAAGAATCAATGCTTTTGAGTTATGGTGCTGAAGAATATAGAATATATCATGGACTCCTAAGAGAACAAACAGGTCCATCCTAGAGAGGTTTAAACCAGGCTGCTCCTCGGAGTCAAGGATTCTTTTTTTTTGTTTTTATTTTATTATTTTTGTGTGCGTGTACCGTCAAATCAGATCTGACTGGTACAGGAGGAGATTGTCCCTCCTTATCCGGCAGAGCATCTGGTGGATTCGAACCGTTCGCCTCTGGGATTGTAGTTGCAGCTCCTTGCCACTAGGCCACCAGAGCTCCCCCCACCCCAGAGTCAAGGATTCTGAAGCTCCGTCTGACATACTTTGGACATGTTGCAAGGAGGGACCAGTCCTTAAAGAGGGACGTCATTCTTGGAAGGGTGGAGAGACAGCATAGCGAGGAAGACCCTCTATTAGGTGGATTGACTTAGTGACTGGGGTGATTGGGGTGGGAGTGTCAGAGTCAGTGAAACTGACTCAGGACAGAGCAGGGTTCAGAGACATTGTAAGGAGGGTTGCTATGAGTCAGAGTTTACTCAAAGGCACATAACAACGCCAACAAGAGCATATTTTACCTGCATGAAACCACACACTCATGCAGAACAGTAGTATCAAAGACCGTTTTTTAGTTCTCCAATTCCTCTTTGTTCACAGTCTCCGGGGTGTCTGGAGATGCCTGTTTATCCCTTTCAGCAGCAGTAAAATCTCTGATGTAACTGGGCCTGAGGAAGCACCACTGGTCTCAATCCAAGCTAAGTTCGTGAGTTTTCCTAATTAGACTGAGAGACTATTTTTTTTAATATCCTTAGATTCTTCTAGATCCATTCTTGTGGGTATGTCAAATCCAGGGTCATTCTGGGGTCTCAGTTTACCCAAAGGGCTGTGAATTCTCCTTCCTCTAGAGAAGTGATGAAAGAGTAGATCAATCAAGGCTTGGCAGGTTTCTGCACTGGCCGACTTGACTTCGAGCATTTCAAGCTAACAAGCCACAGAGGTTAAGAATGGGATATTTTGTTTGCCATGTGCCCTGAGACAGAAAGAGGGACACAGTGGCTATTAACCACGGTGCTAACTGTGGCTACAATGAGTTGATTCAGTGTTATTAAGACACAGATTCCCACTTTTTCTTGTACCATTCATCCGAAGAATTAAAGTAAAAAATAAAACAACAGAGAAATAGCTGTAGATCCTGGAACATACTGTGTTCTTTTATGTTTAATAAAAGAACCTCTCCATTCCCAGACACACAACAGGCAGCTGTACCGAGCAGTCTTCATGAGATCACAACCCTGCAAGACTCATGCTGTGTGAGGTGACTCCAATTTGTCCTCCTCCCCACTGCCCACCTATTGTGTTGCCCCTTCAAAGTTAGGTATCTTCTGAGAATTTTTTTCTGACTCTAGAGAAAGGATTGATGTTGTCAGTGATTTTTAATTTGCTTGGATCAACAATGAATATGCTTGGTTCTAGCATTCAGGAAATCAGGAGCCATAATGCAATGGGTAAGTCTGCTGTCAGAGACCTCTCTGAAATGCTGAAGAGCAATGATACCAGTTTGAAGACTAAGGCGTGCCTGGTCTTCTCTATCACTGCTATGCATCAGAGAGCTGGCCAATAAAAGTAAACAAGGATGAAGGGAGAAAAGTTGACATCTTTGAAGCAGTTTCTGGAGAAGAGAGCTGAATATTTCAGACTGCCAAAAGAACAATTATATCTTGGGAAAAGTGCAGCCAGAGTGCTCCTTAGAGGCAAAGATAGCAAAGCTTCATCTTTTATCCTTTGGACACGTAGCTAGGTGAGGCTCTTTGGGAAAGAACATTATGCTTGAAAAGATGGAGGGTCAGTGAAGGAGAGGAAGACTCCAAATGAGGTGAATTCACAAAGTGACTTCAGCAATGACAGCAATGGGCTCAAGTGTGTCAGAGATGACGAGGATGGCACAGGATAGGACAGGGTTCAGGGTGGTTGTTCACAGGGTTACTATGAGTTGGACTATACTAGACGACACCTAACAACAACAGACAGCCAAACTCAGGTGCAACTTCTACCAGATTCTCATTCCTCATTTAGAACAAGCATCTTCCTGTACTATAATTATCTGCTTTCTAATTTGTTCTTCTTACATGCTTTTGTCTGCCAATTCCTTTCGATAGCAATCACTTGCTGTGCATCAGAGAGGTGGACAATGACTAGGGAGGATAGGAGGAGAATTGATGCTTTTGAGCTGTGGTGCTGGAGAAGAGTATTGAATGTACCATGGACTGCTAGGAAAATGAACAGGTTCATCCTGGAGAGGATTAAACAAGGCTGCTCCTTGGAGGCAAGGATTCTGAGGCTTCGTCTAACATATTTTGGACATGTTGCAAGGAGGGACCCATCCTTGGACATGGACATCATGCTTGGGAGGGTGGAGGTACTGCGCAGGAGTGGAAGACCATTTATAAGGTAGATTGATTCAGTGACTGGTGTAATCAGGGTGGGTGTGGTGGAGACAGTGGGATTGGCACAGGATAGGGCAGGGTTTAGGGCTGTTGTACATAGGGTTGCTATGAGTCACAAGCGACTCAATGGCACATAACAACAACAACAACAACAACAACATGCTTTTGAGTTGGAAGTGACTCACAGCTAACTCTCCAGTGGGTTTTCAGAAGCTGTAAATCTCATGGGAGAAGATTGTCCAGCTTCCTCCTACACAACGGCTGGTGAATTCAAACCATGAGCCTTTGGGTTGTCAGTGCAAGTCCTTAACAGCAGGCTACAACTAGCTAGTTCCTCAAGGCTTGTGACAGTATCTTCTTGAAGTTCATTCTGGCTAAGGCAAAGTATTTAACATTTGTCTGTTTGAATAAATGAATGGAGAGCAGACAGAATTATGAAGGAAAGACCTTAAGGAATCAGTATAAATAAGTGACTATATATTTATATAACTATAAATAAAGAAATGACTTTGCCCTATTACATTTTAGAACCCATAACGTATGCATATTTGCAATTGCTTACTATGCATGTGAAGTAAGACAATGAATAAGGAAGAATGAAAAAGAGTGATGGCTTTGAATTGAGGTTTTGGTAAAATGTATTGGATACAACCATGGATTGCCAAACAAACAAATCTGTCATGGACGAAGTGTAAGCAAAGTGTTCCTCAGAGCAAGGATGATGAGGCTTCCTTTCATGCAGTCTGGAAGGTTGTCAGGAGGGAAAAGTCCTTGGAAAAAGCCATCACACTGGGTAAAGCAGAGGGTCAGGGAAAGAGAGGAAGAAGCTCCGAGACAGCCTGACACAGTGACACAGCAATGGGTGTACACGCGCCGGAGGCTGTGGACATCGCACAGGATGATCAGGCAGGGAGTCTTCCATTGGCCTTGGGGTAGCTAGAAGTTGGCGCCAACCTGATGATCCTGAACAATGACACAACAACAAGAACAAATCTTGCATTTTGGGAGAAGAAAAGTCCATGGAAGTCCACTCTACTGGCTCTCCTTCACAAATGACAGCAGTGTTACATGGCAATGAAACAGCAATTCAGGAGAAGACGTTTTCAGGCGCATACTCACCCGCTATGTTTCATGTGTGCTGGTTTATCCATCCGCACAGCTAGCTTGATTTTTAAGTCAGAGTCCTGGCTATTTTTTGGAACGATCATTCGGTGCAACTCGGCTGACTTGGAGCTATTGGAAGTTGGATATAATACTACCTGTAAAGAGTAAAAAAAAAAATTAAATAAATAAAAACTGAGGAACTATTTCAGAGCATGACACAGCACGCCTCTGGGCTCTGACTGAACCCTTTGCTGCAAATTTTCCTGTTTGAAGAGAAGGTGTTAATGTTCCAATGTGTCTAATACATCATTTGACTCCCTCCCACTACAGCAGATGGGTTTTCAATGCAGACTCATTTATTTTTTGACAAATATGTGTTTTCATATTATCACATAATGAGTTTTCTTCCTGTGTCACTTTGTAATGAATTAATAGCACAACAACTGACAGTTGAGTTGACAGTTGAAAAATACTTAATGGACACCTACGATTTAAGGACTACTCTAAAAATCCTCAGGCAAAAAAAGTTCAGAAAGAAATAGTCATTGAAATTACAGATAAAATGCTTTTTAAAAATCCCATTATTTGAAACAGCACCACTATGCTTCACGCTTCAATAGTTTCATTGCAAAATAATATTAATGGAAATCAAATCAATCAGAGAGGAAGACGACTGCTCACCTTTTCTCCTCCAGATCAATACTAAAGAAGGATATTTTCTCCCTGGCTATATTCACAACTATACTGATTAAATAAAAATAAAGGAAACCAAATAATTATTTTAATATAATTGCCAAGTTACCAGTGATTCCTTCATCGCCCTTGTCATGAGGTACCATTCAGCTGACTATGACTCCTACCGACCCTATGATCAGAAGCTTGCCCTATCCTGCGCCACTCTCCATTATGCTCAAGTCCACTGTTGCAGCCACTGTGTTAAATCTCCTTGAGGTCTTCTTCTCTTTCAATGATCATCCTCTTTTCACAAGGGTACAGCTCCAGAAAATCATCATAGGAAAGAAAGTCTACTTCTTGGATGAGTTGAACTCACTTGGCATTTCATAAGCTGAAGGAACTAAAGAACAAATTCAACCCTCGAGTTGCAATACTTAAGGATACTAAGGGTAGAATACTGAATGATCCAGGAAGCATTAAAAAAAAAAAAGGAAGGAGTATACAGAGTCATTGTACCAAAAAGAATTGGCTGACACAGAAGAATTTTGAGAAACAACGTATGATCAAGAGGTAATGGTGATGAAGAGGAAGTGCAGGCTGCTCTCAAGGACTTGGCAAAAAAAACACTGCCCCAGGAATAGAGGGACTACTAACTGACATATTTCTATAAATAGATGCTGCCCTGGACATGCTCACCAGGTTATGCCAAAAAATCTGAAGGACAACTACTTGGCCAACTGACTGGAAGAGATCCTTATTCATTCCTATTCCAAAAAGAGATGACCTGACAGAGTGTGGAAATTATGAAACAATATCACTAATATTACATACAAGCAAAATCCTGCTGAAGACTATCCAAAAATGACTGAACAGTACAATGACAGAGAAGTACCAAAAATAGTAGCTGGGCTTGGAGGAGATCATGGTACTAGAGATATTATCACCAATGTCAGATGGATCTTGGCAGAAAGCAAAGAGTACAAGAGGAATGTCTTTCTGTGTTTTATTGACTATGCAAGGACATTTGATGGTATGGATCAAAACAAGCGGTGGCTAACCTTGAACAGAGTGGGAATCCCAGAACACCTGATTGTGCTTATGCAAAACCTTACACTTGGACCAGGAAGCAGTCTTCAGAACAGAGCAAGAAAACACTGCATGGCTCAAAATTTAGAAAGGTGTACACCAGAGGTATGTCCTATATTCATACCTTTTCAATCTATACGCAGAACAGATCAGGCTGGGCTTTATTGAGGAGGAATGTGGCGTCAGGATTGGAGGAAGATTCAACAACCTACGTTATGCAGCTGATACAACTTGCTTGCTAGAACTGAAGAGGACCTGAAGCGTTTACTGCAGAATGTCAAAGACTATAGTCTTCAATATGGATTGAAGCTCAACATCAAAAAGACAAAGGTTCTCACCACTGGGACAACTGGCAGCACCATCATAGAGAAGAGACTGAGGTTGTTAACAATTTCAGCTTGCTCAGCTCCACTATCAACACTCATGGCACCAGCAGTCAGGAAATCAAAAGACAAATTGCATTGGGTAAATTTGCTGTCAGTGACCTCTCTAGAGTACTGAAGAGCAATGGTTTTTGGAGACTAAGTCTGATTCAGGGCACTGTCTTCGCAATTACTTGATATGCATCAGAGAGCCTGTCAATGACTATGGATGACAGTAGGAAAATTGATGCCTTTGAGCTGAAGAATACTGGAGAAGAATACTGAATATACATGGACCACCAAGAGAACATACAGGTCTGTCTTGGAAAGGGTGAAACCACGCTTCTCCTTGGAGACAAGAATTTTGAACTCTATCTCACATACTCTGAGCACATGGCCAGGAGGGACCAGTCCTTAGCGAGGGACAATATGCTTGGAAGGATAGAGGGACAGCACAGGAGAGAAAGACGCCAGATGAGATGGACTGAAACAGTTAACTAGGGCAATGGGGGTAGATGTGTAGCAAAGGACAGAGCAGGGTCCAGACCATGATTTATAGGGTCACTATGAGTTGCAGGTAACTCAATGGCACATAACAACAACAATATATAATGATGCTCCTTCTTCTTTTCAATCTATGATGGAACCACTTAGAGCCTTAATTGATATCTAAAAATGGCTTGCAATAAAGGATGAAACAAAGATATAAAGTGCAGTTTACTTAGCACTTAACAAAAGGAGCCTTGGTGGCATAGTGTGTTATGTATTTGGCTATTAACCAAGAAGTCAACAGTTTGAATCCATCAACCAACCAGTCCACAGGACACAGATGGACAGTCTGTTTGTACAGATCAGTAACATCAGGAACCCAAAGGAAAGTGCTCATGAACTGGAACTGATTTGAAGGCAAGTGTGTTTAGTTTTGTGGTTATCAGAACTATGTTATTCTCTGTTAAATCAACACAAAAGGTAAGTAAACCTAAAGTTTAAGTGCTAATGGAAGAAGGAGAAATATGTTGAGGTGTCTAAAATAGTCTTAATGTTTACTTGGCAACAAAATTTCACATTTGGTATCTCTCCCCCATTCCTCCTGTACCCCCTTCCCCTCTAGGAAGGAGCACACAGACATGGAGGCTTCTCAAATTCTTTTCAGCTTGCTTCCAGTCTACCTTCAAAGCTGCATCCGGCATATAAAGGCACATTCAAGAACAAATCCAGTGGCATCTGTGATGTTTAAAAAAGACTTTATCAGCCTCCTCTGGAGTTAGTTCTCACTGATTGCCAAAATAGCTACAGAATATTCGACATAGTACTTTCCTTTAAAAAAAAATTACTGCTTTGAATACAACCATTCATATACATTGTGTTTCATTTATGTCCACTGTGTTTTCGACAATCATTCATATACCATGTCTTATATAATTAATTTCTGTTTATCTATGCTTTTGTGCTCATATGAAACCTACAGCTAGACCAAGAAGTTGTTGTCTTAACAGAGCAAGGAAACATGCATGGTTTAAAATCAGGAAAACATTATTTTTTTTAAAAAAAAATATTGATTTTGATACAGAAATAAAGGACATAGGAATATATTCTTTTTCATACCTTTTCAATCTACCTGTTGAACAGATCTTTGAGAGGTCAGACGTTATGAAAAAGAATGTGGCATCAGGATTGGAAGAAGACTCATAAACAACCTGAGCTATTGAGATGACACAACCTTGCTCCTGGAAATTGAGGAGGACTTGAAGTGTTTGCTGCCGATCAAGGACTGCAGTCTTCAATATGGATTACCTCTTATCATCAAGAAAACCTCACCACTGGGCCAACAGGCAGCCTCATAATAGATGGAGAAAATATTGAAGTTGTTGACCATTTCATTTTGTTTGGCTCCACAATCAACACCGTTGGCACCAATAGTCAGAAAAGAAAAAATTGAGTTGCACTGGGAAAAAAGACCTCGCCAGAATGCCCAAGTGCAAAGCTTTCAGACTAAAGAATAAGGTATGCCTGATCCAAGCCATGGTCTTCCCAACTGCCTGTCACCCATCTGAGAGCTGGACAGTGGTTAAGGATGACAGAAGAAGAATCGATGCCTTTGACTTGTGATGCTGTAGAATAGTACTGAACACATATTTGCTTCCCCTTTGTCACTATTGTGAACAATGCTGCTATGACCATATTGCTGTTAAGTGCCGCCGAGTTGAGCATGACGCATAGTGACCCTGTGAACAACAAATGTGGACTCTGTCCTATCCTGTGCCATCCTCATCCCTGACATATCTGAGCCCACTGCTGCAGTGGGGTTGATGCTGCATGAGGTCAATTCATTCCATTGAGGATCTTCCTCTCTCTCAATATTTACCTTACCATGCATGACATCCTTTCCTGAGAAGAGTAACAAGTGAGCAAATATCAGCAGAGCTTGACTGAGCCTGCTGACTTCTGGCAAAGCTGGCTCAGGCCCTATCACATCCACCATCAGTCTGAGTGGACACATCTTCCTTTGTGTCTTAGCTTTGATTTCCTTGGAGCATATTCCTAGAAGTGGAGCTACCGGGTCACATGGGACTTCTGCTATGTTCAGCTTTTTGAGGAAACTCTAAACTGCCTTCCATAGTGGTGGAATCATTTTCAAAGTCCACCAGCATGAGAGTTTAATCTCTCCACATACCCGTCAACATGTATTCTTTGCTGTCCTGTTGCACTTTGCTCCTGGTACTGGAGTGAGATGGTATTTCACTGTTGTTTTGATTTGCAGGTCTCTGATTGCCAGGACTTTAATCATTTTCTCACGTGTTTGTTCTTCATTGAAAGTCCTTCTTTGTGAAGGCATTTCTCCCCCCCCATGTCTTCTGCTCATTTTGTAAATGGATCTGTCTTTTTCTTTGGAGGCCCTGTAGTATTTTATAAACTTTCACTATGAGACCCTTGTCTGGAATGTGGTTGCCAATTTTTTTTCAGTCTGTCTGTAGGCTTCCTTCTCACCCTACTGGAAAACGCTTTTGATGCACACAGGGATTTGGTG